GAGAATATGCTGCTATAGTTTTGAAGATAGATTCAAATTTTGCCTAGATAAAGGGACATTTCTTAAAATAAGCTTTTGATTTATGATAGTTGAGAGTATGTATGGCCAGCCATTTTTAATAAATTTAAGATATGTCCTATATGTGATAACCATTGTTTTAACTTTTGCTTTTGAACACTAAGAATACAACGTGCATTATAATACAAGTACCTAAGAACCTGTTTTGCCTCTTTAGATGCTGGTAGACCACTTGTTTTGCTAGTCTTTAGAATTGGAAGGAGTGTCAAATACACAGAAGCCAGAGTCATCTTGGCCAGATGGTGTTTGATACAGATGGATGGTTAGTTGTCATGCAGATCTCTTAGTTGGTAACTTGTTGCTGCCATCTGACTCAAAGAATCATTCACACACACTGGCTGTCAAAAGCATCTTCTCTTCTGTCTGTTTTAGCTGTCATGTCTGTGCTCTGTACAGAAGTGTTGACAAGACATTGCTGTTGTACATTTTCAATGCGGTTGTTAGTGATTTTTCTGTTATATGGGGTCTTTGGTAGTGCTGGAATGCACTTGCTCTGTAATTGGTTTTCTTTTTAAATACTGTGACAGTGCAATAATTATCTGACCTTTTAAAAGGACTTTTCAGGTTGCACAACAGCATTTAATTTAAAAAACACTTTTTGTTTCTTTTAGTTTCCAAACATAGCAAATAAACAGAATTCTATTGGTTATTTTGCAATCTATACTAATAAAAGGGTAATATGCTAATTAGACCTGGTTGAACAGAAATCTTCTGGTCGTCCTTCCTTCTGGACAAAGCTACAGTGGCGGGGGCCAAGGCAGAGTCGGTTAAGGATGATCAGGCCGGCAGAGGAGAGCAGTTAGGGGTGATCAGTCTGGCAAGGGAAGGCAGTTTGGGGCGATCAGGCAGGCAGGCAGGTTAGCGGTTAAGAGCCAGCAGTCCCAGATTATGAGAGGGATGTCCCGGATTGGAGAGGGTGCAGGCCGGGCTGAGGGACACCCTCCCCTGTCCCCCCATCCCCGCCCCACCCCGTGCACAAAGTTCATGCACTGGGCCTCTAGTTTGACCTAATATTCTCTGTACTTTCCCTTTCACAGCCTTCTGGCCAATTTTTTTTTTACTATTTTCTGAATACTGTGTATTATCTCTTCTCAAATTAGTAGGGTTTTTTTCTGATGGCATAAGCTTCCCCTTTTTTTAAAAGAAAAATCTTCAGACATTGCCTATCATTTGCATCCATTTTCTCAAACTTAACTTCCTTTTGTCTTATTCACCTGCTGACCTTGTCTCCATTGTTCCTGTTTCCCTTATGGAATATAAGCAGTGCCTGTTGTCCTTTCCTTCAGGTCACTTGTGAAAGCATATCTATTTCTCTGATACTTCTTTAAGTACTTAAGTCATTTATTTGTTCAAGTAATGTTTACTGAGCATCTCAATATGTGCCAGACACTCTGCTATACTGTAGAGATATCAGGACTAAATAGTCCGCCCTTGAGGAGTCATAGTTTAAAGGAAAATTGGGTATATAGACAATTAGACTAGAATACTATAATTTTTATAACATAAGTATGTAGAGCAGTGAGCCATTGCTATTCTGTTTCCCCTACTATAAAGTTTTCGTTTTTAAATTATTACACAATTTGCTTGCATTTATAAAGTACTTTATTAAGTAGCTTAAGAAATAGTTCAAAACTTCATTTTGAAGTAGTTGTTGATCTGTTAATTTATCTAAGCTAATGAATTCATTTTCAACATTATTCATTTATTATAATACTAGTAGCCCGGTGCACGAAATTCGTGCACATTGAAAGGGAATTAATTAGAGGAACATAATTTGGGCTCACTATCTAATATCAATAATACGTGAGTGTGAGGCTGTCCGCGTTTCTGAAATTCAGTGACATGAATTTTAGCTATTACTTTGCCAAATAAATGGACTTTACAGATATCATTTAAAAGAGCATTCAGCTTAATATTAAAAACTCTGGCTACCAATTCAGGTCTGTTTTCAACTTTTTGCCAGCGTTGTAAATTATTTGTAATATCAGCACATTCGGGGTTGCATGTCATGGTTATGAATAAATCAGGCTTGCCATACTTTGTTACAATTGCCATAGAACCCCGATATCACTGCTGCATATTTCTGGGACTACCGACAGGATACTGATTTGTTTCATTTTAGTGGCACTTGGATTATTAGGATCTGGTTTACAATGAATGAGCAAGTCCCTTTCAAAAGGAGGTTCTCCATCCTCGTTTCTGAATATGACAGCAACTTCGGTTACACGGGGAGAATTATATCTACCTGGGTCACTGTTACGATCGTATTTAATTGCCACTGTTACTGCTATGGGAGCTATACCTTTTGTTGCTGCTTCAGATTGGGCTTCCTATTCTACCTCATGTAGCATCTTGTACGATTTTGTTAATTCCTTTATTTCATGCATGAGGTTGTTGATGTTCATCATGAGTCGTTCTAAGCAGCCCTGATTTTCTGGCATTGCTAATCTTTTACTTGTAGCTTCGGCTGTATCCAAAATACAGAGCTGAGCAAACTTCTAAGAAACACCATCTGAAGGATGTAAAGTTCCAGTATGGTGATAAACTTGTCCGTGTATTCTAAAACAGTATGGCCCATATCCTGATGGCGATGCAATATTTGCACCCATGGAAGCAAAAGCAAAAGAACTATTTATGGAACAAATATTTTCTATGAAACTTTTACTGTCAGAATCTTCGTTTGTAATTAATCGTTTTAAATATGCCGGGTAATCTGGAAAATGTATATCATTTGGACAGACTTTCTCTTTGCTACAACATCGAGTAAATTTCCCATCGGATGGTTTTTCATCAGAGAAATTTAGTGATAGACAAAATTCACATCTAACAGTCATTCCACCACAACTATGTGAGAGGATTGCATCGTCATGTACTCCATTTTTGCCGAGAAGGCAGTTCCTACCGGTATTGGTAGTACTTGTTGATGACTGTTCTCTAGACATATTCTGTCGTCGTTGTTGTCGCCACTGCCTTCTTTCAACTTCAAAGGCTCGTTGGTCTTTAGACATTTTCTGTTGTTAACGCCGGTGTTTTTTGGTATCAGAGTGACGTTTTTCCAGTAGCTGGTGTTCAGATACATCCTGTCGTAAGTACCGCCTTCTTTCAAGATCAGAGGCACACTGCTCTGCAGACACTTTCTGTCGATAATGCCGGCATCTTTCGGCTGCAGAGCTACGTTGTATACACAATTGTTCTTTAGACATAGTCCCACCTCTCTACTGTCACGGTCTGAGATGCATGTGAATGAGAGTCCTGGCTATCAGGCCGCTGAGAGCTGTCTGACCAATGGCTGATTCTGGCTGATTCTGTGGGGGTGGGACTTCCTCTTCCCTGCTGTCAGTTTCCACAGCTATGATGAGGAAGCTGGGGTGACAGAGGGAGCCGTGCCCTCCAAGCCACCCTCTCTCTTGCTCTGCTCTATGTCTAGCGGTCTCTTGCTTTGCCAAGTCCTCCAAACATTCTGCTCTCCACTGGCAAGGTCCCAGGAGCCTGTGGGCGTGGCTAGGCGCAGGTGGCCTCAGCTCCCTGGGTCAGTGAAGGTCCCAGGAGCCCGCAGCCACGGCTGCCTTTGCCTCCTGGGGCGCCTGACACCTGCTTATGCAAATTAACTGCCATCTTTGTTGGATTAATTTGCATAGTTACTCTGGCTGGTGAGTGTGGCTGGTGGGCGTGGCTTGAGCGTAGCAGAGGGATGGCTTATTTGCATGTTTCTTTTATTATATAGGATAAGCATGTACTGAATACGTCCTATGTATAAGTTACCTTGCAGAGCTCTATGGAAGTATCAAGTTATATAATACTACACTCAGGCAGCATGCACATCACTTGGTTTACTTGTCAGTTATGTTTAAAATGTATTATAAAATTTTACCTTTTACTTGGAAAAATGTTTTTTTGCTTTAATTTCTTAAGCTAACTTATTTTGGGAATCTAGGAACAGCTGTGTAATTTATAGGCTTATTAGTCTCTGAAAACAATCGAGCTTTACTGATTTTGAACTTTGGTTAACAATCGGCTCAAAATCAAATATTTAATATATATTGAAGGGACATTATGAAATTATTAGTACCTCATTTCACATTTCAAGGAATTTACAGTTTAGTCATTTATTTGTTCTTCTGGTGATAGAAATTGGTAAAAAAAAAATTCTCTATTAATTTTTGGTAATATATTTTGAAGACTTTGTACTAATTTGGTAATGGTAATGCAACATCTTCAAATTTGCTTGAAGGTTTACAGTATCTGTATTCTGCAAATTGTGTCTTCTTTCACTGCTTAATTCTCAGAGCCATTATAATAAAATAGCAAAAGGAGTGGATTAAAAACATAAGGGAAATTAAGGTATTTAAGATCTCCACTAAAAATCAGCTGTGTTCTCAAGTTCTTAAAACTTTTAGAAAGGAAGTTTATGATCAGTGGGATTTTGTAATTTTTATGTGTCCCTTTAGTTTTCATAATGTTTTAGTTATACCCACTTCCTTTTTATTTTGTCCTCTAAGAATAAGTTCAAATGTGTGATTATTTAAAAGACACAAAATCTTACCTTTTTTAAGTTAGTGGGGTATTTGTATAGAAAACTTTAATATGATGTCTTTTTATTATTCATGCCTTTCTTTGTTATCATTAAGGATAAAATTCTAAATTATAATTTTTATCCTAACTGAAGGACCAGAAACCATCTGTTGAACTCTTAATTGAAATTTTCTTTAAGATTATTTTTTAAATTGTAAAGTGTTTCAAATCACAGATGTTTGTAATGATTTTAAATACATTACTGGATCCAATTTTTAGCTCATAAATAAATGCTCACTACCTGGGAAATAGCAATATGGGCAACTCATATCTATATATAATTATTAATAGACAGTAAATGTATGTATATATCTGTCAGTAAATATCGGGCTAACTGGTTTTTATGTCAGCAGACTGAAAACTATGAGCAGAGAATACGTGAGCAACAGGAACAGCTGTCACTTCAACAAACTATTATTGACAAGCTAAAATCACAATTACTTCTTGTCAATTCCAGTCGAGGTATGTTCATGCTAATTTTTTATGTGTTTCTTAAACCACTTTTAGAAAAAGGTGGAAGTCGAGTTTTTCTATTTTATTTCTCCGTTTTTTTCTCTGATTTACATATGTTTAAGAAATGAACATTTTCGGCCTATGGGGAAATGGACATTCATGTACTTAAAAATCTGTATGTAAGGATACTCATGATAGCATTTCTAATAATGAAAAACTATAAATAAAGAAATGTCGCCGAAACCGGTTTGGCTCAGTGGATAGAGCGTCGGCTTGCGGACTGAAGGGTCCCAGGTTCGATTCCGGTCAAGGGCATGTACCTGGGTTGCGGGCACATCCCCAGTGGGGAGTGTGCAGGAGGCAGCTGATCGATGTTTCTCTCTCATCGATGTTTCTAACTCTCTATCTCTCTCCCTTCCTCTCTGTAAAAAATCAATAAAATATATTTTAAAAAAAAAGAAATGTCCAAGAGTTAAATTACAGTCATCCATATAAGGAACAGCTATGTACCAGAAAACTGATGATAATAGATCAGCTTATTAACATGACATGTACTCAAGATATATAGCAAAATGAGCAAAACAGGATACAAAAATAAGTATTTTATTTATGCCAAAAAAATTCTCATGTGAATTTATATACATACATATATATATATATATATGTGTGTGTGTGTGTGTGTGTGTGTATGGTACTCTTAATGCAACATCTTCTAAAATATAAACCAGGAATATAACTCACAGATAAGATAATAAGCACGGAATAGTTGTACAAATGAGGATCTTAAACAAGAAATGCATATCTGAAAATGCAACTTATATAAATTCTGCATATTTTACACACTATTGATTAAGTAGAGTAAGGATTTTGTATGTTTAGTGGAAATGAAAAAAAAATATATAAAGAAAATATGCCAAATCAAAATCAGCAAATCTAAATTGTCAAAGTCTCTACTCTTTAAAATTAGAGGTTTGGATTTGTATTCTGTTTACATTTTCAGGTACTACCAAAAACAAGAGTTTCTTGCTTATGTCCAAGAGGGTTTTGTTTTACAGATAACAGTTACGGCCGTATTCCCCTGCTTGAAGACAGTGAAGCAAGGAAGAATAATTTGACCCCTGATCAGCCACTTGATAAAGTAAAATCAGGAATACCAAGAGAAAAAGAATCAAAGGTAAACTGCGCCTTGGCTTATTCCCTATAGAAATGAGAAATGAGAGATTAGGTTCCGCAGCCTTCCTGAATGATTTAGTCAGTATTCTATCATAACTTGGGTGGGCAGGAACAGGGGAGGATATTGGCAAGATTCTTTTCAACCATAAGATTGCTTCTGCAAAAAGCAGCATGCAAATGCTGATACATAAAAATATCTTCTTCATTTTATTTTCCTGAGGTAGATTCACCACTGATTCTAAACAGAAGTTCTGTATATACAAATAAATGACTTACATGATCCTAAATAGAACTACCATTTCCTAGTAAAAAATAGGCTTAGGTTTCATATTTTCTGGTGTTCTCTTTTCAGGCATTTAACAAAGAAATAAAAAATTATGCAAAGGTAGATAGTAAGACACTGATGATTCTGGATTAAAAAAAATAGCATTCTGGGGTGTGTTTTTTTATCAATTACCTGTGCTTCATTTAAAAAGAAGAAGAAGAAAAAAAGCCACCTCATCAGCTTAAGCAAATGTCTTCATTGAAGCAAGATAGAAAGGAATATTTCCTATCTGCAAGGAGACAGGTACTGTACAAGTATGTGCATGCTATGTTGGTTAGAAACAACCTAATCATCCATCAATAGCAGAATGGTACATCTTTACAATAAAACACTTTAGAAAAAGTAAAATAAACTTAATTTATATATTAATATGCCTAGATTTCAAAAGAAATGTTGAATAAAAATGGAAACTATAAAATGACAAGGCAGGAATAATTTATGTAAATTTTTAAACATATAAAACGTTACGATAATTGTTTCTAAAAACACAAATAGGTAGTAAAAGTGTAAGAAGGGTACACATCTTCTTTAAAAAAATGACCACCTCTACGGTCCATGAGAGAAGAGTGTGTGACTCTGGGAAGACGATAAGGAAGCTTCAGTTGTATGTATAACTTATCCTTTTTTAAAGAAAAGATCTTGCCCGGCTGACATGGCTCAGTGGTTGAGCGTCGACCTATGAACCAAGAGGTCACGGTTCAATTCCTGGTCAGGGCACATGCCTGGATTGCAGGATTAATCTCCAGTGGGGCAGTGTGCAGAAGGCAGCCAATCAATCACTCTCTCTCATCATTGATGTTTCTATCTTTCCCTCTTCCTTTCTCTCTGAAATCAATAAAAAATATATTTAAAAAAGAGAAAAGAAAAGATCTGAAGCAAACATGACAGAATGTTAAGACTTGTTAAGTCATCGTAGTGGATATATAGATGTATATTATTCTCCATATTTTTCTGAATCATTGAAATTTTATGTTTAAAAAGGAATTCTTTAAATGAGGTGAGTTGGGTTTTAGTGGGATGAGACAGCTTTTGAATAAAATGAGATCTTCTAACAATGAGGACACTTAATATTCATACTATCAATTAAGTCAAGAGCACTGTGTTTCTTTCTTTCCTTCTAAATGATGTAGATTTTAGTTTTGTGTGTCAGGGCTATTCTGTTACTGATCCCATAACTGAGACTTATCATGTTTTTATTTAACATCAAATCTGATTTTAATAATTTTCTATAAATAAAATTTTAGAATGAGTTCTCTATATTATCTCCCAGTTCATATTTTTTAATTCAAAATCATTTTTTTATTTGAATCATTCAGCTGTCTTTACTTTCACTTCAATTTCCATTTATCTAAAAATGCTGAAAAACACAAGAAACAATGGCACTAGCATGTTTAGGTTTCTTTTGCAAGAGATAAAATTTAGAAACATTGATTCTGACTTCTAGGATACAATTTTATGATTTGGTTTATTATAGTACATTATAAGTCACTGAATTATAAATGCTGACAAATTTAGTGCTTAAGTAAATAATATTTACAATCCTTTTCCTATTTCAAAGACTTCTAAATTTCATTATTTACCATTATTTTTTAATCAAAATTATTTTTATTTCCATTATTACATTTCTTTGAAGATAATAAAATATCTCCAGTTCAAACTATGTAAAAGGTATTTTTTTTTAAAAAAATAGCAGTCTTGGTTAGAACAAAAGGGATGATGTGAAAAACTCTAAAATATGTTAATAACTTCGTTTATTTTAAATCGGTCATTATTTATGAAAGTTTTAGATTTAGTTTTCAGTCAATAAGTGTTCAAAGGGAACCTTCTTCAGAATTTTTTAAATTACATTTGTTTTAACTTTGTAAGATGTTTTTATCTATAATATAAATTGAGTGGCATGATTATTATGACCACCTGACGTTTGTAGGCAAATTAGCTATAATTTCACGCTAAAGTTGCTAGAGGGCCAGACCATTATAAATAGGGAAGCAGGTTGTTTACCACGACAGTAGAAGTGATTTTTTTTCTGAAGATATGGGTAAACAACACGATTTAACAGCCTTTGAACATGGGACACACACACACACACACACACACACACACACACTGAGTGGCCAGATTATTATGAACACATGACATTTGTAGGCAAATTAGCCGTACACT